GCATGTGGTGCTGGGGATCGAACCGCGGTCCCTGTGCTTTGCCAAGCTTGTTTCAAGTAGGTGCTTTAGACCACTGAGCCATCTCTCCAGCCCCTGCATTTCTCATATTAGAGAAACCATACAATATTTAAGCTTGAGGGTCTGATTTATTTCACTAACATTATTGTCTTAAGGTGCATCCATTTCAGGCAGGAATATAAAGAATTGAAAAAAATCAGACAGGGGCTGGTGAGATGGCTCGGTGGTCTAAAGCACCTAATTAGAACAAGCTTATCAAAGCACAGGGACCGCGGGTTCAATCCCCCAGCACCACATGCCAGCCAACCCCGCCCCCTGGTGGGCTGAGCTGGCCACACACACACACACACACACACACACACACACACAAATAAATAAATAAAATTTAAAAAAGAAAAAAATCAGACATCCCCCAAATTCAAAGACCCAATCCCAAAATGCACATTTGAGATGAACGCACACTTCTCAGATGTAGAAATATAAATGGCAAATAAATTAATAAAAAAATGTTCAGCATCGTTGGTCATGCGAGAGATGCTAATTAAAACTACACTGAGGTTCCATCTCACCCCAGAAAGAATGGCTGTTATCAAAAAAATCAAATGATAACAAATGCTAGCAGAGTTTTGGGGCAGAGAGAACCTTTCTCCACAGTTGGTAGGAGTGCAGACTGGTACAGTCACTGTGGAAGTCAGTGTTGAGATTCCTTAAAAACTAGGATTGGCAGTCCCATTTGACCCAGCTATTCCCCTCTGGGTATCTTCCCAGAAGAATTAAAAACGTCATACCACAGTGGTATATGTGCACCCCTGTTTGTAACAGCACAGTTTGTCATAACTAAATCTTAGAAACAGGCCCAATGCCCATTACCCAAAGAATGGATAAAAAAGATGTGGTTGTTTATATAGTGGAGTACTACTCAGCCATGAGGAAGGATAGGGGCGGCAAGAGCCAGGTCCCTCGGTGAGGAGTGGCCTGCAGGCTCTGGGGCTGGAAGGTGTGGGGTCATTGGCCAGGGCAGTGCGGGGGCGCCCCCAGCCCTGGGAAGCCCCGGCGTTCCCACCGCCATGACCTGCGGCTCTCACGTCCCCTTTCATGGCCTCGGGGTGGCCCCTAGCAGATCCGAGCAGCGGAGTGCAGGATGGGCCTGCGAGCACGAGCACGGAGTTTAATCCCTGCCCTCTGGGGCTATAATTGAACCAGCGGTGTCCCTGGAGCAGGGCAGATGAAGGCACACTGGTAATCCCAGCTACTAAGGAAGCCCAGACAAGAAGATCCCAAGGCGGAGGACAGCCTGAACAACTTAGCAAGATCTTATCTGAAAGGCATTCTTCACCCAGAGGCATATTAGATTCAACACCTCCAAAGCGGAACCCACCAGCTTCCTTGCATAGTAGCATTTCTCTCTGTATCGCCTGTGTTATGGTTTGTGTCTAGCTGCCTCCCCAGTGCCTCATGCAGTCATGGGGTGGACTTTCGGAGTTTGTGATTAACTCATGATTGGGATTATGGGTGTGAGTGCTGCTGGGCTTACAGGTGTGAGTGATGTACCCGGCCTGGGGCAGAAAGTCTGAATGCCACTTAAGGGAGGCGACTTGCTCTCTAGCCATTGTTGCTGCTGCTCCTTCCACTTGCTCTTGCTGTTTTCCACCAGCAAAATGAACTGCTGCCCTCTGGCATATGCCTTGGAGCCAGCTGATTATGGACTGAAACCTCCACAAACTGTGAAATAAATAAACCTTTTCTTCCCTAATTTTGTCAGGTGTTTGTCCCAGCAATGAGAGAAGAGCAACTAAGACAGCCTACTTGGGACTGGAGGACGTGCCATCCCTAGGCCCTTGGGAGTCACCCCATAGTCACTGTCATGTCTGCTTTTCTTTCTCAGTAAAACCATGCCCATGATCACCGCCCTGGTGCAGGTCGGCATTCTCTCCTCATGGTAGCTGTTTGTCATGTCTCCTGCACTTTGCTCCTTTATCCAGTGGCCAAGGCATTGTACTGAAGATGCAGTCTGAAAAGGTCACTCCATTTCTAAAGTCCTTGAGGCCAGTGGAAAGCCTGGGTTCCCTGACATACCTCACGACCTCATCCATGGCCTAGTCACTGCCGTGGCTTGTCTCTTCCCACCTCAGGAGCTTTTCTCCAGCAGTACTCGTGCCCAGAGTGCTATGCCCGCAGCGGGCTGCTCTGCGCATGTGTGCTTTCCCTGGGTGCAGACTACCATCGCTCATGCTCTCTCAGCAAGACAATCACTGCCCGGCCTTAACCCCGGAAAGTCTTCCCGAAGATCTCCAAACCTTAAACTGTCAGGCGTCCTCTGCTTATTGCCCTGATGGTCAGTCTGTGTATCAGCTGATGTCCTGTATTTCTTAATTTCATGAAGTCAGGGACTGTCTTTTTCGTATTCTGTTTCCTAACACTCAGCATCATGGCTGGCACGTAGTACTTATTCAATAAAGACTTGTTAGCTTTAAAAAAAAAAAAAAAGGATAAACTGGTGACTTACAGGTAAGTTGATGCAACTCAGGACTATACTCATAAGTAAAATAAATCAGATCCATATGTGTGAACATCATTGTTGTCTCACCAGTGTGAGAAACTAAACAAGTAAGTAAGATCTGAATTGGGAAGCAACTGTTCAAAAGGAAAGACAAACTGTGATGGGGGAAAGGAAGAAAGGGAAAAAGAAAATATGTATGTATACACAGATAGTTATACAGCTAGTTTCTCTTAGTTCATTGAAAGAAAGGTTTCTGCTAATATTCCTTGGACAAGATATGCCTGCCAACGTCTTTCACGTTGAATAACTACTATGAAGACAATATGCAATGTGTTAATTATCACAGCTCTCCTACTAACCTGTTCTGAAGCTAGTATTTTTGTGTTTTTTTCCCTCTTTAAGATTTTTTAAAAAATAGTGTTTTAGAAGTCAGTAAGGTCTGGTCATGTCCCAGGCCCGTAATTGCACTATCCAGAGAGGCTGAGATAGGAGGATTGTGATTTGGAGCCAGGCTAGGCAATTTAACAAGACCCTATCTGAAAATAAAAAAAGGTTAGGAATATAGACCTCAGTTCAATTCCCATTTCTGTAATCAAAAATCAAAAGCAGGACTGGAGAGATAGCTCTGTGATCTAAGTACCTGCCTGGCAAGTGGAAGGACCCAGGTTCGATCCTGGTTACCATGCCACTGAAAGCAGGCATGGTGGCCCATGCTTGTAATCTCAGCGTTGAGACTGAGACAGGAGGATCACTAGGGGTCCAAGCTGCATAGCGAGACCCTGTACCAAATAAGTAAAGAAAAAGAAAAAAAAAACCAAAAAACCAAAGAACCCCCATCCCCCACACTTTATTTTACATTTGTGTATATTTGAAATAACTAACAGGATATAAAACTTATTACCTGATGTTACCTCCCTTTTTTAGACATGTTTAGTGACTTTTGTTTTTAATTATACGTGTGGTACAGGGTCTCACTATACAGCTTGGACTCTAGTGATCCTCCTGTTTTCAGCCTCCCACGTGCTGGGATTACAGGTGTGTGTCTCCAGTTTCTTCCTCACCTCCATGACAGTGTACACTAAAGTAGAATGTGAAGGGCTGTGAAATAACTCAGCAGACTGCGTGCCTGCTTAGGCAAGCACAGGGACTGGGGTTTGATCCTTGGAACCATGTGCTACCACCGGCCCCACCCCTACGCACGTGGAGCTGGGACCAGGGCATGGTAACACACGCTTGTAATCCCAGGGCTGGGGAGGCTGAAAACAGGAGGATTACTACGAGTCCAAGCTGCATAGTTGAGACCTTATATTAAATACATTAAATAAATAAGAATGTCAAGAGAGTTTGTCCTGCTTTTCATTGCTGAATTTTTTTCTACTTAGAATAATTTCTTGCACATAGTATTACACAATAAATAATTCAAATAAATAGATGATACTGCAGGCTGAAAGCAGGTGGCAGCAAAGAGTAACCTTGCTGTACATAGAGGAGGCTGTTTAAGGAGTGCTGGATTGTATGCCTTTGACCTAATATATAATTCATATAATTAAAATTTCATTTGGCATTGTTTCATAATGAGTCTAACACATTCCTTATATCTGAATGGCTTTTTTCCTATGGCTGTTCAAGTTGAGTTTTAAGTTATTTTGTGAGTTTTTAAAATTTTTTTCTGTCATTTTGAGATAGAGTCACACTATACATTTCAGGCTGGCCTTGAGCTCACTTTGTAATCCGGGCTGGTCTTGAACTTGCAAGATATTCCTGCCTCAGCTTCCCAGGTGCTGGGGTTACAGGTGTTATCACCAAACCCAGCAGTTCATGAATTTTCATAATGTACCATTTATTAGAGAACCTTTCTTAGAGACATTATCTAGTAGTGCTTATAATTGGATCAGTGAGTAAACGTTAAGGTCCCTTTTAGAAAAACAAATGCATGCACATAAGTTTAGAAAAGTTACAAAGGGTGTACTAATTGAAGGTAAGTTATAGGCCACTGTTTCAGATTGTATGCTTAAAACAGCAATATTTAAGTCTAGGGAAGTGGTACAAGTTTATAGTCCTATTACTTAGGACACTGAGGCAAGAGGATCACAAGTTTTGAGGCCAGCCCGGGCTTTAGAGTGAGTGTCTCAAGATGACCAAAAAGGACTTAAAGTAGGAAAAGTCACAATATTTAGTTTAGTTAACTTGTTTCACTCGGGGGAATTTACTTAATGTTTCAGATACCTTAGCGCTTGTAAATTGGAGAAAGTAACTTGCAGCGTTGAATCTTTTCATCATCAACTGAATAACTTAGACGTTTTTCTGACGTGATTGTCATTGTACTGGACCCCCCCAGCATTGGGCTTCTAGGATTGCGTGGGCTTAAACTCTGAAGATAGAGTAGTTAGGAACTCTATATCTGAATGACTGCAGTTTTTTCTCACTGTCTCAATATTATTTCACATTAGGCAGAGCCCAGACAGTGGGAAAACTCGGACCAAGCTGACGGTAGAAGAATTGAAGGCCTTTGTCCAACAGCTTTTTAGTCTTCCGTGCGTTATCAGCCAAGCTCGACAAGTAAAGGTGGAGTATTACATTTTTGCCTTGAGTAATAACTTGTGTAGTTTTGGCTACTGTTCTGGATTAATAGGATGGTATATCTAGACTAGTTATTCTCTTTTGTTTGCTTATTTTCTCACATATGTGCTGTTCTTTAGTAGATAGTGTCTTAGTTTTGTTCTTAACTTTTACTCCTTTTATAATTGTGGAGTGAAGGCTATTAGGAATTTTTTTTTTTTTTTTTTTTTTGTCTGTTAGGTTAGAGCCCCTATATAATACACAGGTAGCTGAAATGCAATAGATCAGTTAAGAGAATCTGAGTGTATCAATGAGTAACTAATAGCTGAGCCTCTTTTTTTTTAAAAAAAAAAAATGCTCCTAGGAACCGTTCTTGATTCCATGAACTTGAGTCCTTGTTCTTGATTCCTTTGTTTCCCTTATGCCCCTTGTCCAACAAGTGTTACAGTTACTGCCACAATATACCTCGGAGTGAACCATTTATTTTTGCTTTCATTTTAAAAAATAGCTCTGTCCCACTAGAATCTGTGCTTTGGGTTACTGCAGCAGACTCTGAACCTCTTTATATTATTCTTTTTTTGGTGGTGGTGATATTGGGGATTGTGGGTATGGCCTTCATACTGAGCCTTTATTCTCCGATGATTAAAATCCTCAGGGGCCGGGGAGATGGCTCAGTAGAATAAGCGCTTCCCTGACAAGCGCAAGGGCCTGAGTTCAATCCCTGATTTCGCAAAAAAAAAAAAAAAAAAAAAAAGTCCTCCAGTGCTTTTCCAAAGCCATTATAAAAAAAATCCACGCCATTATAATCAAATTGAAACTTGTTATTATGTATAAGACTTTGAGTAATCTAACCTCTGTTTATTCCTTTACTATGTTTCTCCCTCATCCGCTTGTTTTTTTTGTTTTTTTTTTTTTTGTTCATTTGCTTTTGTGTTTTGTTTTTTTGAGACAGGGTCTTCCATGTAGTTTAGGGCTAGCCTCAAACTCAAAGTGATTCTCTTGGGCCGGGGAGATGGCTCAGTAGGATAAGCGCTT